GGAAGGGAGGAGGAGCCACTGGTGGAGGCACGGCCACAAGCTGCAGACCCAAGGGCACCTGAAAAAGAACCTGAGGGGTGAACCTGCACCTGAAGGGGTTACCTGCACCTGAGGGAATTACCTGAAGCAAGGGGGTCTTTAGCATGTGAGCAGTACTCAACCAGTGGCGTTGTTTCAAGAAGACGGTGCAACAGCAGATGAAACGAAAGAAGCGGTATGGCAGACAAGGGTGCGGGCATGAGGGAACGGTTACTTAGCTGATTGTGTGGTGCAGGCGGAGGGGGTGCTTCAATGGAGAGTGGGCAGGGCGAGCGGGGCTTGAAGGGACGGACCTGCGAGGCAGAGAAGGGAGAAGGGAGAGATAGATAGAGAGATAGTAAGAGGCAGGTGGGAGGGAGTGACCCCTTTAAACGAGAAGACAGGCAGCAGTGTGAATGCAAAATGACGGTGCATGTGACGCCAACCACAACCCCACAAGAGCCGCTACCAACCTGAACCTGCACCTGAACCTGAACCTGAACCTGAACCTGAGGGGGAGTGGGCTCGAGTGGAGTGTGGTGGCAGGGGCGATACTGCAACCTCAACCGTTGATGAGGCCGGCGCTGCTGCCCCGCTGCCCGCGCTCCTGCTGCCCGCCCTGGTGCTCCCCTCGCCTGCTGCACTCCCCCTGGCTTGTGAAGGCCTGGCAGGGAAGGGATGGGAGGGCAGGGAGGGGAGGGAGGGCAGGGTGGAAAGGAAAGGCAGCCGAAAGTAAGAGGGGTTGCAATGGAGAAAAGTGTCAAACACACGTGCAACAGCAGAAACGACAGTGCATGTGACGCCAACCACAACCCCACAAGAGCCGCTACCAACCTGAACCTGCACCTGAACCTGAACCTGAGGGGGAGTGGGCTCGAGTGGAGTGTGGTGGCAGGGGCGATACTGCAACCTCAACCGTTGATGAGGCCGGCGCTGCTGCCCCGCTGCCCGCGCATCTGCTGCCCGCCTTGGCGCCCCCCTCGCTCGCTGCTCGCCTGCTGCCCTCCCCTTGTGCCGGCCTGGGAGAGAAGGGAGGGCAGGGAGGGCACTGTGAAAAGGAATGACGAGAGAGCGGAAATTGCAATGATGATGCGAGCATGAACAGACACACAAGCATCTGTGGCAGGGAGGGGAAAAGAGGCTCACCTTGTTTCAGACAACCCAACCCACCCCAGCCGAGTGGAGTGCTGCCCCCCTCCCCTCCCACCACTGCCACCTGCACGGCCACAGGGGAGGGACGCGAGGGAGTGGTGGTGTTGACCCCCACGCCCCTCCCCTCAATGGAAAGGAGAGAACTGAAGAGGAGTGAGTATGCGGCTAGGGGTAGAAATGTGAGAGGAGTGCATGGGTGGGGTGGGGTGGGATGGCAGGTGAGAGCAGAGAACGGGGCCACTGGTGCAGCCTCAGCTACAAGCCACAGACCCAAGGGGGGTACACACCTGGGAGGCTTACCTGCAGACCTGAGAGTATACCTGTAATACCTGGGGGGATTTACCCAAGAAAAGGGGTCTGTGCTTGAAGCTTTGGCTCAACCAGCGGCTTGCGTTTGAATGCACAAGCAGCAGAAGATGCAGCAAAAACTGAAATGGAATGCAAATGAACGCAAGAGGCAGTGCGGGGTACTTAGCTGCATGTGGGTGGGTTGGGTGGAGAGCAGCTGCTGCCTGTGCACTCCATGTTCCCCCACCACTGCTACTGGCGTGTGAGTTGCTGGAATGAGAGCAACTCACACGGGATGAAAAAGGAAGAAAGGATGATGGGGAGAGGACGGAGGTTTGATAAGGGAGAACAGGAGGGTGATGAGTAAAGAGGCGAAGACAAGTGCGTGAAGTGAGAGCGAGCGAGTGCAAGAGTGAAGCGTGGATGAATTGACTGCTGCAATGGCACACCCAGGAGACCTCGTACCGTCTGAACCACACAGAAGCAAATACCTGAGGCTGTACCAAAAGTTTTGAACCTGATACCTTTGGGGAGGGAGGTCTCTTGAGTGTGACAGAGAGCAGTAAAGACTGAAATTTGAGTATTCCATGCAAGCGAGAAAGGCAACACAACTACGAGGGTTGGGAGGAGAGAGGCAGGGCGGGGTACTTAGCTTAGCTGTGGGTGGGTTGGGGGGAGAGCAAGTGCTGCCTGTGCACTCCATGTCCCCCGCCACTGCCACTCCCGGTTGAGCGACCTGCTGGGACGAGAGGGGGCGGATCAGGACAGAGAGAAGGGAGGAGGCGGAGGAGAGGACGCGGAGTGAAGGGGGATTAGAAGAGTAGAGAGGGCGTTAGGTTAGAAGCATATCAGACTGAGTGAAGTGAGAGCGAAGGGAGAAGAGAATGCAAGAATGATGCGTGCTTGAATGGACTGCTGCAGTGGCACACCCAAGAGACCTCGTACCAGCTAAATACCTGAGCACGTACCTACTACCTTGCTACCTTGGGGGAGTGAGGTCTCTCGAGTGTGACAGAGGGCAGTAAGGGAGGGAATGTGCAGTATACTGCAAGCGAGACATGAAAGCCAGCACAAGTGCGAGGGTTGAGAGGAGAGAGGCAGGTAGGTGTACTTAGCTTAGCTGTGGGTGGGTTGGGTGGAGAGCAGCCGCGTGTGACGGAAGAGAGTGGGCCCGAAATCGCAGGTCGCCAGAGTGAGGTTCAACGGTCCGGCACCCACCAGCGTGGCACCCGTCCGGGGTTGGGAACGGCGTGACGCACGGCGGCCTGCAGTGGGTGGAAAGACGCGGCGACATCGATCGGGAAACGAACGTCAGGGAAGCAGCTCGCCAAACGACGTACTGTGATACGAAATCGATCTGGGAAATTGGATCGCGAAATTGAAATTCGGGATCTAGTATTGTAGAGTTGAAACGGGAAACTGAAACGCGATAACTATGTACGAAGTCGATCGGTGAATTTGTTCATCAAGATTGAAACGCGAAACGGAAAAGCGAACGCGTGACATGCGGAAAATTGATTCGCGAAATTGACTATGTGCATGGGTGTGGATCGCAAAATACCTGAGCTGCCTGACGAAGCGAATCTGAACTCGCACGCACTTTCCGAAATCGCACACCGTCGTTGGTGGTTCAAGTGGGATGTCGCCTCCCCAACAAACCTGCAACATGCAACCAGCAAACGTCAGACGCGCCACTGAACAGTCTCGCGTGTGGTAAAACAAAAGAATACTACACGACTAAATAAGACTCGGATACGCGAAAAAGAAATAAGAACACGCACTCAGGCTTGCCTTGCAGAGGAATCGCCATTCTCGCACTCTTAGTCAAAGTTTCCAGGCTTCATGCGATTTCCTCTTCCCGACGCGCGATTTCCTCTTCCGGACGCGCGATTTCCTCTTCCGGACGCGCAATTTCCTCTTTCCGACACGCAATCTCCTCTTTCCGACACGCTATTTCCTCTTCCCGTAAAAGCAGCTTCAACATTAAGCCAGGCATGATGCAGAATGCCTCCAGGTTATATTTGGAATCAGCTTCGCTAGCGGCTCGCCTTGTCGCAGTCGCAAATGCCCTAAGAAAACGAGCAGAATGCCTGAAGCACAATGCCTCACGCTTGCGTTGAAGGTGAGAAAATGAGAAAATGAGAGCAAGAGGCGAAAGCGCTGTGAAATCCGAGGCTCAGGCGAGAATGAGGTGAGAGATGACGGTAATGCTGGAATGAGGCGGAGGGGTCACCAACTGCCTCGACTCTCCTTTCCTCACAACAACCCTCTTCAGATCTACCGTCAAGAATCACTGGATTGTCTGAAACTCTCTTGGAACTCAGATCGCAGCCGTAGATTCGGACCTTCTGCTTGTTTCGTCACGGCAACCCAAGCCTGTTCCTCGTTGGTCTACAGGGCTAACCGGCACGACAAACAGTGATACCGGCTGCGAATGGTTGGTTCGGTCAGGCTGAATGTTTGTCCACGACTGTGAGATTCGAGAGTCCATTTCGGTGGCTGGTTGTGAATCGTCCGCGTGGCACATGAATCTGCCGGTCAGGGAAGGGAAAAGAAAATTGCCTGATTCACGCCGTTCGCTTGTCCCCTCATTTCACCTCAGCGAGTACGCGAGACAAACGACACCGACTTTTTTCAGCGAGATTCCGTTGACAAAGGCGGGAGCTGCGGGTTTACGCTGGTGAACGTTGGACTCCGTGATCTGGGAACCGTCGATTACCCTCTGATCTGGAGCCGCAGAGCCGTGGTGTCGGTTTGGAACGCGGCAAGCCCAATGGCTTGAATTTGAAGCCGTGGTTCCAGCCACTAGGAGCGAAGTCGATCCTAGCCGTCGATACAGATTCTAGGCAAGCGGTTGCGATTGGGAACCAGGGTTGAGGCTCTCCGTCAGATCTGATCTTTGGGAAAAATGGGCGAAATTGGCGAACGATCTATGCTTCCCACCTATTCTGTTACTCGTCGCTGATTCGACGGAGGATCTGATCATCCTGACACATCTGATATGGGAAGAAAGTCGGGAAGCCCACACATTCTTTCGAATAAATGGATCTAATTCAAATAGGTACACCAACAAAGGGTACAACAGCAAATCAGGGTATGGATAGATATGGATTATATTAGTGAAATGGTACCAGCCATGTTAGCTGTATAATGCTACAATACTTACACAACCTTATACATCTAGTGGCTTGACAACACAGGGATTGAGAACCAGCATCAGGTTCAACACCATCTAGATCTTTCACTCAGACTCGATCACACTTCCAAATCATGCAAGCAAGAACCGCTAGGTAGGCGGAGGTATCAGCCCTCCGCCTACCCCTAACTCGCAACAGCTAGAGAGAAGCTACCAAGATGGGGTCAGTAGTGGGTTTGCACAGGCAGCAATAAGCACCAGAGGCGGTCAGCAGCGGGCAGCAGAGGGTAGCAAGAAGCAGGAACAGCAAAGGCAATGAGCAGAGGCAGCAAGCAGAGAGCAAGTGCGGCAGAGGCAATGAGCAGCGGCGGTGAGCAGCGGCGGTGAGCAGTGACGGTGGCGGCAGTCAGTAGGGGCGGTAGCGAAGGTCACCCCTGGAGGCACCCCTGTCAGCGGGCACGGTTCCCGGTGGGCCTGCCAGGTCGCCATATGCTGCAGTGCTGTATTGCTGCAAGGGGGAAACACATGCAGCCATGCCATCATGCCACCATGCCATGCAGGGGAGGGCGCAGAAAGATCAGAAGAGTGGGCCCAGGTGGAACCATGCATACACAAACTAAGCGCTCCGCTACCACGACCAACACCTCTCCGTCAAAGTCAGGCAAATGCCGTGCCGGCAGAAGACGACAACCAGCGCAGATACAGCACGGCAACCCCAAGGCAAACACTCACCACGGCTTGCCCGTAGTCAGCACCAGGAGCAGGCGCCTGCCCATACGCCTGCTGTGCTGCTGCAATGTAATACCCCTGCGCTGCCGCCGCCGCTGCTGCTGCTCCCGGGCTCCTGGGCCCTGAGGAGGCCCCCATGGAGGGGTCGGAGGGGGCAGGCGCGTAGGCGGAGGGCAGGTAGGCCGCAGAGGAGGGGACTGGGGGGGGAGCGCCTTCTTGTGGCGTTGCCCTCTCCACTGCCACCTGTGGTTGCACAGAGGAGCAGGGTGTGGGGTGAGATGGAGGGGAGGGATGGGAGGGAGAGGTTGGAGAGATGAGACAGAGGGACAGTGGAAGGAACATACAGGAATGGGCGTGACAACAGACAAGCGAATGAGGATGTTTGGTAAATGAGAAAACGGCACAAGTGAACCACGGCGGAGGAAGAGAAATGCAGAGAGGGGGAGCGGGGGGGGAGAGGGATGGTGGGGAGGTGTGTGGGGGGGGGGTGGGGGGGGTGGGGGGGGGGGGGAGGGAGGGAGGGAGGGAGGGAAGAGAGGAGAGGAGGGATAGAGAAGGGAGAGGGAAAGAGAAGGCACTGACGGTGCGGCCGCAGATCTCATGCTGCCTCTTGGCAACGAAGGCTGCCACCTCCTCCTCTAAGAAAGTCACGAAGCAGAACCCCCTGTGACCCCCCTTGGCCGAGTCCTGTCAAGCCCCATGCCCAATGCAGCATGAACCATGCACCATGCCCCAAGCACCATGCACCATGCCCCAAGCACCATGCACCATGCCCCAAGCACCATGCACCATGCACCATGTGCCATGCACCATGCACCATGCACCATGCGCCATGCACCATGCACCATGCCCCATCCATCATGCACCATGCACCATGCCATGTAGCAGACAAAGTAAGGACAAAGTTGAGGTCAGTGCATCAGCAGCCAGGGCGTGCACTACATACGTGGCACTGGGCAGACACACCCAGCCACACGTCGTGAGCCACTTTCCAATCAGACCAGCACGCTCATTATCACAACATTCACACACACACACTGTATGGCATGCAGGCAATACCTTGGGCAGGTAAACGTCCTCCACAGGCCCAAACCGCCCGAAGTACTCGCGAATGTCCCCCACAGTGGCATCATGCGGCAGCTTCCCCACAAATATCTTGGTCGGATGCACCGCCCTGCCCCGCCTCCCCCCCCATACCCCTGCCCGCCCGCCCCCCCATGCCCCTGCGGAGCAGCAGCAGGGGGAGGCGCGCCATAGGCGGGCTCCCTGGGCGCGCCATAGAGCATGGCGGGGGGGTAGGCGGGGTAGGCAGAGGCGAAGGCGGCCATGGGGGGCATGAAGTCGAAGGGCGACAGGGGCAGCGCCATGGCCGCGGGGGGGTACGCGCGGAATGGGCGCGCTGGGGCTCCGCGGTAACCCCCCCACCGCCCCTTGGCCCCTCGTCCTGAAAGAGGAAGACAGGGGAGGGAAGAGGAGAACAGGGTGCGCAATCAGATGATAAAGAAAGTAAGATGTCAGATGATCAAGCTGCTCTAGGCCTTTCTTCGTGGCTGTGAATGCTCCAGGTCGCTGGGCCAGCAGAGAAGCTTGTGCAAGCGACGGGATGGTGAGGCAAGTGACAGGGTGGGACGTTGACAAGAGAGGGTGAGACATTACCTTGGGCGTGGCTCTGTCGATGGCGAGCGTGGCTCCATCCAGCTCCCTTGGCTCTTCCAGCACCTTGTCCACCGACGCTGCACCACATGGCAGCCACGTGCGCAGTGTGAGCGAGACGAAACAAGAAAATAGCTATGTGAAACACCATAGCAGAATGGCAGAGAGATGTCAGTGCAGCTGCTGCACTCATCATCAGCATTCGTGTGCATTAGTGTGATTAAGGCAGACGACAGTACCTGCATCGTCAAAGGTCACAAAGCCAATGTTGCGATGCGGGTTGGACCCGTGGCCCTGAGGAGGGGGGGTGAGCACCGAGCACAGAGCACCGAGAATGGGGAAAGGAGCACGGAACATGGGCCATGGAGCACGGAACATGGGCCATGGAGCACGGAGCAGCAATGTGGATCAGTCCAATGCAGGCCCGCAATGACAGGGTGAGAATGGGGCCACAGCGAGACAGCAAAAAGCTAGAGGGAGGCGTACCTTGGGCATGTAGCAGTCAGTCACATTGCCAAACGCTCCGAAGTACCTGCAGCAGCGGAGCAGAGAAGCAGGGCATGGCAGCAGGCGGTAGCGGGGGCACATGTTGAAGAACCAACAATAGATTCGGCGCTGCAGAAGTGAAAGAAAGCTGACCACTGGCTCAATGGTAGATTCAGCGCTGCAGCACAGCACGTTACCTTTTGAATCTGTCTTCAGTCACGGTGGTGGGCACGCGCGCGACGAATATGCGGGTGGACGACACCTTGGGCCCCTTGGACATCTCCTCCTGCTCGCACACACCACACACGCGCATCAGAGCCCTTTCCTTTGAAAACAAAGCAGAAGTGCGTGGCAATGGCGACGGGAGGTGAGATGATGGGTTGGTAGCTCGGCTGGGTTGGTTGGGTGGTTGCGGTGCGGACAAACCTTGGGCGTGGCGGTCTTGACTTCCAATTGCCGGCCTCCCAGGGTGTGCTTCATCTGCGCCACGCTCTGATGCACACACATCCCACGGCAACAGCAACGGCATTTGCCATGCCACAAATTTCACGATTTGAAAAATAGAGTTACGACAGAAAAAGAGTGTGATGTTCGAATAAGTTTCGACCAGCGACAAGCGATCTGGTCTATCCGAACGTGCTCCAAAAAAGTTGACAATGAACCCGTCGGGCATCATGTGGAATGCTGCTCACCTGCGCGTCTGCGAGGAGGCTGAACGTCACGTAGCCAAACCCTCGAGAACGCCCTGTGCTCCGATCCTGCACCAACGCACAGATGAGTATCATAACAGCAAATCCGGACAATTTACCATACTCAGGGGAAAAACAGATCTGAGTGCCGATGCGGTTGCGAAATGCTACCTTGAGCACGATGACGTCATCGAGCGCGCCAAACTTCTCCATGTATTCGCGGAGGCCCTCCGTGTCCATGCTGTACGGTATGCCCAGCACCTGCACGCACGCGCCCGCCACGCACGCGTCAGCCAAACCCTAACCAGATCCGCCATGGATCAGGAACGCCGAGCGATCCATAAGGCAGTGCGAAAGAAATGCAGGGAGATGAGGAATGCAGAGCCATTTCCGGTGAGACTCACAACGAGCTTTCTTGACACGGTGTCCTGCGAGGCCATCTTCGCTGTCCGATTGCTTATCGAGCCACGAAATGTAACCTCTTAAACGAGGATAAGCACTCGCGAAGATCAGTTGAGATCTCACGATCTGGCGACTCCCTGAACTCAGCTACGCTCGTCTTGCCTCGTCTCGCCTCGTCTCACTTCTCTTCCTCTTCTCAGCTCAGCTTGGCTAAGCTTCGCTCAGCTCAGCTTCTCCGCTCAGCTGCCTTCAGCCTCCGCTCGCCTCTGCTCGCCTCTTAACTCCTCTTAACTCGCGTCCGCGGTAACTGTCGCAAACCTCTCCGCTCGTCTCACGCGACTCGTCAACACTCTCGCCTTGCCTGCAAAAAAGGGATCCCATATCGGCAGTCAAGTCACCTGACAACACAACAGCTCAACTGGCGATAAAATGCTCACAAGAGAAACGTCATCATACTTTCCAGCAGAGAGAACGGAAAACGCGGAAGCCTCACAACTCAAGAAGATCGGCTCAGCCTCGCAGGATCGCTTCGCTCAGAAACCTCTGATCTCAGTGGTATCGTTCGCAATCACGCGGTAACGGACCGACTCGACGTCGCCTCGTGCAGCTCAAAGTCGGCGTGAAAGGCGGAGATCAAGGAAGATCGAAACCACGAAGAGACAGCGATGCTATTCCCAAGAAAGACGCCTGTGAGCAAGATAAATCTCGGGGTTGCCAAGAACGAGAGGGATGGTGTGGGCTGGAAAACTTGCGAAGGTTTCCATTGACAGAAGAGGTGTAGGGTAAGACATTTATATTCACAAGTTGTATTTTCCAGCAATCCCCATTCCCTGTTTTTGTTTTGGAGTAACAACACACTATCAGATGGGCTTCAACAAATCAAGTGCCCGCCCGCATATTATAGCACAAATCAATGGCTACAGCAAAGCCCTGCACTTCAATGTCTAGGGAACCCAGCAGTATGCTTTCTCTTAGGCTATTGGCTTTTGACCATTCCCATTACATGACGGAACAGTGCTTCCATTATTAATATGAAAACTGAATCTTCTCCAGGTCCATTCGGTGGGCGCGTCCGCGCTTCTGGACTTCTCCGTGAACTCGACCAGTCCTGAGCGGTGCACCGCCACCACTATGCAGCTGCGTGTTCCATACGCCCCCTGGTGCGCCCGAGAGTGGTTTGGGTCGGTGAGACGAAGAGAGAGAAATAGGTGGGCAGAGGAGAAACTTGGGCGAGAAAAAAGCACAGGAGGGGTAATCGGTTTGGTGAAAGACAATGTGGTACCACCAGACCAACAAGCTGGTTCGGACAGTTGAGAAACCGGACGCTGAACGGCATTGAGGGCGACAGAAGAGAAGGGAGAGCAGTGGTGTACCTTGGGAGTGTCGCAGTTGACAAAGACAGGTGTCAGCCTCTGATCGTACTCCGGCCCCATAGGGCAGTGCTCCGCCTCCGCCACGTCAGCACTAGTGTGAGGGTGCACAGGCTGCCATGCGTCCATGAGCACTCTCTCTATAATCACCTCTGCTGGCACCTCGCCCCCGTTACTCTCCGCCAGCAGCTCAGCTAAGTGCTCCTTGGCTCGCTCCACCTGCCAATGGAAAATTGCGAGCCGGGGAGAGGGGCCAGGCGGTTGAATTGGGAAACGGGGAAGGGAGGGAGTGGCGGGGGTGCAAACCGCCAACAGCTCGGCTAAGTTTTCCACCTGCCAGGCAGAAGTGTCACGAGTCAGGGAGGGGCCAGGCGGTTGGATGGGAAAACGGCGGAGAGGGTGGAAGAGGGGAGCGGAGGAAGGGGTGTTTGACGGCAAGAGAGTAAATGCGAGCAACCCTCATCCATTTTCCTCTTCTGGGACTCCATCGCTCTGCTCTCTCACTTTCCCCCATACCTTGCTCCAGGGAGTGTCAAGAGCCGCATTGCTGAGCCCATGCAGCCCTCGCTCCACGCGCATCACACCACATGCTGCCGCCCCATCCCTTCCCTCCCCGCCACCATCCGCGCCTCTATTTGCACCCTCCCCCTCATGGTGCGGGGCGTTGGTCAGGTAATACATGCGTACATGCGCGGAGGGGCTACTGCTGGCTTCCTCCCCACATGCGCCCTCTGCGCCTCCCCCCTCTGTGCTTGCGCGCCCCTGCTTCCGCTCTTGGTCCTGCTCCTCCGCTGCTGCCGCATCCGCGCTGTGCCTGCTCTTGTCAAATGCCACGTCAGCAGCAACGAGGTTGAACCCGTTGAAGAGGTGCGCGCGCCGCGCCACGGACTCCAGGTACTCCCGCGGACCCCCTGCGCCTTCCGCGCCCTCCGCGTCCCCAGCGGCCTCCGCGCGCCACGCGCCCTGCAGGAAGTCGGAGATGAGGGCGCCGCGGCTGACAGCGTCGGCGCGGTTGCGGACGGCCCAGCAGTTGGAGAGGAATGCGGCGCGCCCGCCCGTGCTCGCGCCCAGCCACGTGCCCCCGCACAGCAGGTCGCGCCCCGCTAGCACGCGCGGGTCGTCGCGCCAATAGTGCGCGGGGTCCGTGGGCCTGGCGGGGGGAAGGGTACAGCGGCGGGGGGTGGGGAGGATAGGTAGGAAAGAAAGGATGGGCACGGGAAAGAGAATAGAAAGGCTTTCGCGAGGGAGTCAGACAAATGGGGCGTTAAGGCGTTCGGGCGAGGCGACACGGGAACGAGGCAGCGCGCGACGGTGTGCGACGGTGGCGAGGGAACGACGCGACGCACCTGGCGAGGAGCTCGTCGCGGTTGGAGGCGAGGAGCAGCGCGTAGAGCGGATGGCCGTCCAGCACCCACACCGACAGACACATGCTGCCGCGCGGCTTCGCGTGGCGCGTGGCTCGGTGTGGCGCGTGCTCGATGTAGCGCGTGCTCGGATACGGCGTGTGCTCGGCGTGTGCTCCAACACGGCGCGTGGCTCGATAAGGAATGCACGTTGGTCGTACAGGAGTGACTCAAGTGCGCGGCGATGGGTTGCTCGTCCGTGTGGGACTCAACGGGTGCGAAGGGATTCACTATGTCAAGTCTAGGAACGAATAGAGTCGCACTGGTGTGAAACAAGAACAAGAAAAATTAACAAGAAATCTGGTCGGTCTTTTGAATGGCGACTGCTCTGGGCTTCTGAGCTGCTTGGGGAATGACGGGCTGCGGGATAGAATGGACTCCATTCCATTCAATGGGGGCACACCGAAGGTGTCAGTCGTGCGACGGCAAGCGACGGTGCGACGTAACTCTCGCGCCGCAATGCGATGGTGTTGGTAGCCACGTCATGTTGAGTCAGCATGGACTTCTATTCCTCCCAAGTGCAAGGTGCGTTTCGGTGATTGTGGCAGGAACATAAAGCTCCAATTATAAAACTGTCTGAACCATTCACATAGCAAAAGAAAATAAATCATATGCTGATATGTAAATGCTTTACCCTCGTCTCAAACAAAACCGATGGAATGATGCACTTTTCCCATTTAATGCGTGATCTACACACCATATCAAAATACATCCTGTCAAACATATATGCTGGATATTGTCTAGGCTGTAGTGGGGTAGCCCATATGGGGTACAGCCCAATTAGGGTTTACTACTTGTACTCCTGCATGCTGCTAGTTCATTCATTCCTGCTGCTAGATTCTGACATGGTATCAGAGCACTAAGGTCCGTAGGACCGTTTTTTCCGGGCCCACCTACCGCTGCGGTTACCGCGCTACCCCACGTACCTGCCTGCCTTGCCTTGCCTTGTGACGTGCTGCACTATGTGCGCCGTCCAGCAGCCCTAGCGCTGCCTCCTACTGCCCTAGGCCAGCGCACTGCCCCTAGAGGCCCGTAAGGCCCACGCGCCGCCCCTAGAGGCCCGTAAGGCCCGCGCAGCCTGCTGCAGCCGCGCGCAGCCCGCACAGAGCCCGCGCAGCCCGCGCCGAGCCGCGCGCAGCCCGCTGCAGCCGCGCGCAGCCCGCACAGAGCCCACGCAGCCCGCGCCGAGCCGCGCACAGCCCGCTGCAGCCGCGCGCAGCCCGCACCGAGCCGCGCACAGCCCGCTGCAGCCGCGCGCAGCCCGCAGCTGCCGCGCGCAGCCTGGGTCGAGCCGCGCGCGGCCTGCTACGGCCTCGCGAGGCCCGCGCGCGGCCCGCAGCAGCCCGCGCCGAGCCGCGCGCGGCCTGCTACTGCCTCGCGCGGCCCGCGCGCGGCCCGCAACAGCCCGCGCCGAGCCGCGCGCGGCCCGCTACTCCCTAGCGCGGCCTGCAGCAGCTCCACGCGCTGTCAGCGCAGCCCGCGCCGAGCCGCGCGCGGCCCTCTGCCTCGGCCACGACCTGCCGCTGATGCGGCCCCGCCCTGCAGCTACCACGGCCCCGACCTGCCGCTGATGCGGCCCCACCCTGCAGCTGCCACGGCCCCGACCTGCCGCTGACGCGGCCCCACCCTGCTACTGCCGCTGAGACGGCCCCGCCCTGCAGCTGCTTCGGCCCTGCTCTGCAGCCGGTTTTGCGGCCCCGACGCCGCCGCTGTCGTGCGCCTACTCGGCCGCCGCCGTCGAGCGCCGGCCCTGCTCGCCTGGTGAGCACCTGCCTGCCTGCCTGACGACCTGCCTGTCTGCCTGCCTGCCTGCCGGCCTGGCTGCCTGCCTGCCTGCCGGCCTGCCTGCCTGCGCGACTGCCTGCCTGCCTGCCGGCCTGCCTGCCTGCCTGCCGGCCTGCCTGTCTGTCTGCTTGCCTGCCTGCCTGCCTGCCTGTCTGCCTGCCTGCCTGGCTGCCTGCCTGCCTGCCGGCCTGCCTGCCTGCCTGCCTGCCTGCTTGCCTGCCTGCCTGCCGCGCCTGCCTTGCCCGCGCTACTGCTGCTGCTACTGCTACTGGCAGGTGGCCAGATGCAGCTCCAGCGACGTTCACGCGAGCCTCTGACGCCCCAGCAGCTTAGTGAGTGGTATACTAGCTGGGGTTGTCGCAGTAGCCGTCGTAGCTGTCGCCCTGGAGCTGGTCAGTTGGGAGCGTCTGGCAGTGGCCCGCTACAGCTGCAGGGGCGTCCACGTGAGACACTTACGCCCCGGCAGCTCCAGGAGTGGTACGCTCAGTGTAGCAGGTCTACGCGTACAGTTCGCTGCCCGTACGTCATTCGCACAGGTGCTAGGACTGGTCAGCCTTGTGGGACGCTTGGTCACACACAGTCCCGCTGCTTCGCTCGTCTGAGCGACGACTGGCGCACAGTGTTTGGCGACGAGGCTGAGCTCCCCACCTGGCTGGAGCTGCATGGACAGAGGGTAGATATCTTTGCGCGTGACTATGATGCTATTCTCACTGCCATGTATGCATTGCCTACTAGTGCTGATCGTGCCTGTTCTCTGTGCGTACCGCCTGACCCTGGTGAGGCTGCTGCTCTAGGTGCTAGTGCGTCTCCTGCTCTAGGTGCTGGTGAGGCTGCTGCTCTCGGTGCTAGTACGTCTACTGCTCTAGGTACTGGTGAGGCCGTGGCTTCAGGTGCTGGTGAGTCTGCTCTCTCTGGTACTGCGCCACCTACGGTCTCGCACACCTTCACCCTTGACTCAGGAGCTTCTCGCTCCTTCTTTCGCGACTGCACCACACTCACGCCGCTTAGTCGGCCAGTTCCAGTCTCCCTGGCGGACCCCTCCGGGGGTCCAGTCCTTGCCCACTACTCCACGGTTCTGCCGTGTCCGGCCGTCCCGTCCGGCTCGCTGTCAGGTCTTTACCTCCCCTCGTTCTCTACGAACTTGGTGAGTGGAGCTGACCTCCAGGATCGGGAGGTTGACCAGTTCACTCCTGCGAGTCAGCGAGTGACTCACTGTACGTGTGCTAGGACGGGCCGGCACTTGGCCACGTTCACCCGTGCACCTGGCTCGAGTCTGTACACACTGACCACTGAGTCCCCTCAGGTAGCTGCGTCTGCGTCTACGTCTGGTCAGCTGGCGGCCCCCTGTGAGTGTCGCGCTTTGTCGCACGACACTCTCCTGTGGCACCACCGTCTTGGTCACCCCTCCTTGCCTCGCCTGCGTCGCATGCACTCTCGCTCCCTGGTCTTTGGTCTTCCCAGGTCTCTGCCTGCTCTCCCTCCCTCGCCTGCGCCGCCCTGCATTCCTTGCGTCGAGGGGCGGCAGCGCGCCGCTCCTCACTCCTCCTCGTTTCCTCCCACAGAGGCTCCCCTGCAGACGCTCCACCTGGACGTGTGGGGCCCAGCCCGCGTCCAGGGACAGGGCCGCGAGCGGTACTTCCTGCTGGTCGTCGACGACTACACGCGTTACACCACGGTCTTCCCCTTGCAGAGCAAGGGGGACGTCCCTGATGTTTTGATCCCTTGGATCCGCGCTGTTCGTCTCCAGCTCCGCGAGCGGTTCCGGCGGGATTTTCCTGTCCTGCGTCTGCACTCTGACAGAGGTGGTGAGTTCTCCTCTGACCTCTTGGCAGCCTACTGTGCGGAGCACGGCATCACCCAGTCGTTCACGCTTCCGGCCTCTCCATAGCAGAATGGGGTTGCTGAGCGTCGCATTGGCTTAGTCATGGAGGTCGCTCGTACCTCCATGATCCATGCGGCTGCCCCCCATTTCCTGTGGCCGTTTGCGGTCCGGTACGCCGCGCATCAGCTCAACCTCTGGCCCCGTGTCTCCTTGCCGGAGACCTCGCCCACACTGCTGTGGACGGGGAAGGTTGGCGATGCGTCGCGTTTCCGGGTCTGGGGTGCTCGTGCCTTTGTCCGCGATACCACCGCGGACAAGCTCTCCGCCCGCGCTGTTCCCTGTGTCTTCCTTGGCTTTGTCCCTGACGTGCCTGGTTGGCAGTTTTACCATCCCACCTCGCGCCGTGTCTTTGCGTCTCAGGACGTCACGTTCGACGAGTCGGTTCCCTTTTACCGTCTCTTCCCCTACCGCACTGCCCCTCTCCCCCCCCCGCCGCTCTTCCTCGCTCCAGGTGCTCCCCAGGTAGACCCCCTCCTCACTCCTGGCCCTGCTCCTTCAGGTGTTTCTCAGGTAGACCCTCCTCCCTTGACTGCGCCGGTTGAGGTCACTGGTGACTCAGGTCCTACTGAGGGTGGTCCTTCTCGGGGTGCTACTTCTAGGGGTGCTGAGCCTGGGGGTGCGGAGCCTGGGGGTGCTGAGCCTGGGGGTGCTGAGCCTGAGGGTGCGGAGCTTGAGGGTGTGGAGCCTGGTGGTGCTGAGCCTGAGTGTGAGGGGTCTGGGGGTGCTGAGCTTGGCGGTACTGACGCTGGAGGTTCTGGAGCTACTGAGGGTGCTGGCGCTGGAGGTTCTGGAGCCGCTGGAGGTGCAGGTGCTGAGGGTACTGACACCGGAGGTTCTGGAGCCGTTGGGGGTGCGGGCGCTGAGGGTTCTGAGTCTGCTGTTGCGCGGTCTCCTTGGAGTAGCCGCCTTCGTCCACGTGTGCCTCTCACCCCACAGCAGCTGCAGGACTGGTACGGTCGCCGTCCGCGTCGCGCTGCTGGAGCTAGGAGTGGTGCTGGACCTTTGTCTACTGGAGGTGCTGGAGTCGCTGGTTCTGGAGGTGCTCGTACTGGAGACACTGCGGCTGGAGACCCTGGGACTGGAGGTGCTGGCTCTGGAGGTGCTGCTGCTGGAGACACTGAGGCTGGAGACCCTGGGACTGGAGGTGCTGGTTCTGGGGGTGCTGCTGCTGGAGACACAGAGGGTGGAGACCCTGGGACTGGAGGTGCTGGTTCTGGGGGTGCTGCTGCTGGAGACACTGAGGCTGGAGACCCTGGGACTGGAGGTGCTGGTTCTGGGGGTGCTGCTGCTGGAGACACAGAGGTTGGAGACCCTGGGGCTGGAGGTGTCGGCTCTGGGACTGGAGCTTCTGGAGCTGCT